TGCACTCCCGTTTCCCGAGGGAAACGTGTGATTTCGGCGTCAAAGGGTTAATAAGATTGCTATAGAAAACTGTTTTCCTTGCATTCTATTCTTATTATTCTGTAACAAATATATACCAGCATAAGAAATCGTAAAAAGTAAATTTTTTTGATTAAGAAATTTGATTTACAATTGTTAATTTACAGTGTTTTCATAGACGAAAAATGAATGTAAAATAAAAAATAGATCGAAGAAGGAAAACCAAATAGAGACGTGAGTCGAATCCTGGACCTGCATCATAGGAATTTTCGGGTGCCGCTATTAAGTCGCATCGCCAGTTGAAAATCTCAAGAAATAAATCAGTAGTTATCGAAGCAATAAAACTTGAATCGCAAATATCTCGAAAACTATCGAGTAGTGGCGACTATAATGATATATATTCTTGAACTGCATGACGAAGTCTAGAAACCTTCAAAATTTCAATTAAATCGGTGACCCGAAGGGCTTGCACTCTCCTTGTTAGTATCGTAAGATACCATTTCGAAAGAAATCGCGAATCGATCATTGCCAGCAAAATAAATTATAAACTCATCAATATTTTCTAGAAGCAAATGGAAAAGTTATTTTGTGTAATAAAATTAAGTTACGTGGTACCTGTGGGGAGGTGAAGCGTAGGTTAAGAAAAGCATGAAAGTAGGGCCCTTGATGACTAAAACGGAGTCCTTGGAAATTAATTGTGACCTGCACCAGCGTGAGTTGCTCGGTGTTGGAAAGAGAGTTAAATTAGAGTGCCTTTTTGTGTGCTTTCGTTGCATTATCTTGGTGTTCTTTTCCTAAGTTAAATTAGTTTTATAAGTTTTGTGTTTGCTACTCTGTTCTTGTTGTTCTGTCAGTTTTTGGTGCCTCAAAACCAGTTTTCGCCATCCTACGGTATAATAAAGGGATATAAAGAGAATAGGTTGGATCGAATGTCGTATGTCTGACGAGATATTCTGGTTTTTACTATCTTCTATTTGGTTCCTTCGTATGATTTATGAATTTGGGTGTATGTTGATGAGTTGTGTGACGTGTGTTTTTAAATCGACACTGTAGGTCTGTTAGGGGTGTGTATGGAATTCGCTAATCTCTGCATGGTGGTGGGAGATTAGATCTGTGGGTGGTCCTCCCCCACTGTCGAAGTCAACTAGTCTCAAGTGTCTTCGATTTTCGCGATGGTGCTAGAAAGGACGAAAGGAAAAGGCAGGGATGCGTTTCGTTCTGGGACTACTAGTGGACTCATCAGTAAGGCTACCTAGCAGGCCCTGCGTTAGACGGGGATACAATTGAAAGGTTTGAAAATTGTATATATATTATCTTCGACCTCCTAGGAATCCATCTATTGGCGAGGGTGAGAATTATGTCGCCACAGATTAATCTGGGCCTGCATGCCCTTCGTCTACTGGCAATTTATAGATTCTTACTGTAGTCCGAGTGTCCATCAGTCATGGGACTCCCATTGATGCTCTGTTTCTGGGAATAGAGAACGAAGCTAGCTCGATCGAGGTTTTGAAGGCTTTTAGCTTATTATAATACAGAATTTTAGAGGGAATAGGTTGTTATGTACGTTTGACTCGATGTTCTGGCTTTTACTTGCCTCTATATGGTACCTCCGTGTATTATATTCGGGTATGTGGTATCAGGGATCAGTCCAAGTGGTGTCCGGATGATCCGAGTCTCCACCAGTCGTGGGACTCCCATTGATGCTCTGTTTCTAGGAATAGAGAACGAAGCTAGCTCGATCGAGATTTTGTAAGCTTCTAGCTTATTATAATACAGAATTTTAGAGGGAATACGTTGTTATGTACGTCTGACTCGATGTTCTGGCTTTTACTATTAGGGGTCAGTCCAAGCGGTGTCCGGATGATCCAAGTGTCCATCTGTCATGGGACTCCTATTGATGCTCTGAATTGATGCTCTGTTTCTAGGAATAGAGAACGAAGCTAGCTCGATCAAGATTTTGTAAGCTTCTAGCTTATTATAATACAGAATTTTAGAGGGAATAGGTTGTTATGTACCTCTGACTCGATGTTCTGGCTTTTACTATTAGGGGCCAGTCCAAGCGGTGTCCGGATGATCCAAGTGTCCATCTGTCATGGGACTCCTATTGATGCTCTGTTTCTGGGAATAGAGAACGAAGCTAGCTCGATCTTGGTTTTGCAGGCTTTTAGCTTATTATAATACAGAATTTTAGAGGGAATACGTTGTTATGTACGTTTGACTCGATGTTCTAGCTTTTACTTGCTTCTATATGGTACCTCCGTGTATTATATTCGGATATGTGGTATCAGGAACCAGTCCAAGTGGTGTTCGGATGGTCTAAGTGTTCGTCAGTCATGGGACACCCATTGATGCTCTATTTCTGGGAATAGAGAACGAAGCTAGCTCGATCTTGGTTTTGCAGGCTTTTAGCTTATTATAGTACAGAATTTTAGAGGGAATACGTTGTTATGTACGTTTGACTCGATGTTCTAGCTTTTACTTGCTTCTATATGGTACCTCCGTGTATTATATTCGGATATATGGTATCAGGAACCAGTCCAATTGCTATTCGGATGGTCCAAGTGTTCGTCAGTCATGGGACTCGCATTTTGACTGTCCTGATGCTCCCAGTAACAGAGAACGAACATTTATCAGCTGAGTTCCGTAAACGCCTCATCGATTTCTCGATTTGTGGCCGCACCAACCCCCTTCTTCTCGCGCAGCATCGTCCCAAGTGCTGGACCGTTGGTAGACGCCATGCTCGACTCACCTGGTTGCGAAGCGAAACGTTAATTAGCGCGACGTTAATCGATGAAACTGCTCCCGTGTCGTTTCTTATCCTTCCTTTTTCCACCCTCGCCTGGTCAACTTGATCCACGCGCTACTCCCCAATGGGAGGACAATTACACCTCCGCGGCGCGCGTTCGACCTTGTTTCGAAAGATAATCCCGCGGTGGGGTTAGGTATACACCCTGTCGCGATACACCCACCGCGGGGGGAGGATTGAAGCAGCAATTTTGACGCGATCTAATTATCCCTGGCCGCGATATTCGCGGCAGATAGCTTTACGATTCCGGGAAGTTTGAGTCTTTTCGCTGGGATGCCGTTAATTGGAGAGCGTTAATCAAAGACGCGAAATCAGCCATAGGCAAAGGGGGTTTTGAATTCGGGGAAGCACGTTTCGAGCGGGAAATTTAGTCGGAAATTGACGCCTGTTTTACGCCGAGGAACACAGCAGGCGTTCGCTGGGATATTCGATCAGCTTTTATGGAATGTGCTCAGTAGGTCAAGCAATACTGGTAGAAGGAAAAACTTCATACACTGGGTGTTTTATCGAGATAAATGTTGTCTAGTCACGTTCCGAAACGTTAGGTAACGAGCAAGACAAGACCCCTGTGTATATATTCGTCCGTTTTTCCTGGGCTAATTTTCCGTGTATTCGATTCCGGGAACATCGGATTCTCTCCGTTCGAGAGCTATCTATATCCACCAGTGTACTCGGAATTATCAAACGGGACTCGAATTTTCGGTACGCTGGAAATGTCCCGAAGCGCGTGTCGAAGTTCCCAATCCGTGGAGAATACCCGATGGTTCGGAAGTGAATGGTGGGTTAAAGAGAATCGGCTACGAACTCGAATACCCTGCGAAGAAATGCACGCGAGAGGTATATCAGCGCGTGAACGCGGAACGTAATAAAATGTCACGACAGGTGGGAAAGTGTCACGACCTTTCTGGAAAGCTTCGATCAATCTACGTGGCTGTAAACACAGGTAAGGTATAGCAAACGCCATTCCACGCCGATTAAAGGATCATCCGTCATAGCAATCGCGCGACGCGAAAATCCTCTGCGTGCCCTACGCGTTACATCGAGTCCTCGAGGACTCTTTCGGAAACTAATTGGCACCACTGATTGGCCGTCCAGGATCGAGAGTCTGGAAACTTGTGGACAACGTTAGTTGTCCAAACCCTGGCGCCATAATTCGCCCACGAGTCTTCTAACACTCGTTGCGTGGTAAACGAATGTTATTCGGGGAATGGAGGACGAAAGAGACGGTTAAGCATCAAGGAGAACATCTCTGTCCTTCTTCAGTGGCTTTCTGGAAAGATGGAAGAAGAAGTTGCCTCGCCTTTGTCGCATCGGCTTCCAAATTCGCAACCTAATTCCTGGTCGGGATAAAAATTCCAAGGCGAAGCTTAAGCGGAAGAATAAGTGCACATGGTCCAGGGAATGTTGGCCGAGGTATTTCTCCGGTCGATCGGTACCATTGATCCATCATAACCCAGTTCGGTAGCGAAGGTGGTTGCATAGGGATTGGAAGAGGTCGAAAAGCGGGAGGAGAAGGAAGAAAGGAGAAGCAGGAAAGGAGAGGAGATTCCGCAAAGGTTGCAGAGCCGTGGGATAAAATTGTTCGTCGAGTCGAAAACCGCATAGCGGGAAGCAACCCCTCCACCCGGGAACGCCTGTTCTCCGCGAGGTAGAATCTCGACCTACGTTCAGGTCTCGCGGTCGCTTCCGGCCAAACATTCGCGTAAGGGTCGCGGCAGGGCGGCCGGGGCGGGGGTCGGAGAGGTGCGAGGGGGGTTATTCGTAAATTCGCAAGTAAGCGAGGAGGTGGCAGAGGAGCGGGCGTCGCGGCGTCGACGGGAACGAAAGAAAAGTTTGGGCGTATGCGGCGTGGCTAGCCTGTCTCCGTTTCACCTTCGCGGTCCGTTCTTCACCCTTCTGTCGGAGATCCCTCGGCGCTCCGTGTGTTCTCTCCTTCCTTTTCCCTGGCCCGTGGACGCCGCGACGCCCTCTCCGTCTTTCCACCCCCGTGAAATCGACGTAGCGCGTTTATCGAACGACTGCGCGCGCAGCGATAACGGGGATGGGGCGTGCTACGTGTTGGTTGGTCGCAGAAAGACTGGCGGTGGACGAACGAACGAACGAACGAACGAGAGGACCGAGCGGCGACGACGACGACGACGACGACGGCGACGACGACGACGACGACGACGACAACGACGAGGCCGAGGACGGTGTGACGGTGACGGCGACGTCGGCGAACACGGGAGCAGCAGACACGAATCAGAGCTCGCCGCGCCACTGTTTCCCGACCAGCTCTGTCAACACACACGCAGCCCTCGCGCGTTGTCAACAGTGACAGCTCGTGTCGCGAGCGTGTGCATGTCAAAGTGTTCGACATTCGCCGTTGAGAATCGTGAATCGCGCGCCGTGTAACGTTCGTGGAAGGAAACGAGTGGAGGGAAGAAGGGAAGATTGGTAGATTTCGAGGAGGAATTTTCGAACAGTGATATTCCGCTGTCGGTCGAGAACGGTTCGAGAACGGTTCGATAACGGGGGTAAACAAAGAAGCGTTTCGAATGATCCGAGGGTGAGGAAGAGTGAACGTTCTCGTGGATTGTTTGTTGTTGGCTGGTATCGATCGATCGGCAAGGTAGGTTCGCCGAATCTACGGGATCGGATCTACGAGGACCGCGTGGAAGGGACGACGGGAAAGTGGTTTCCGTGTGCGACGAGAGTGCGTCGTGTGTGCTGGTGAACGGCACGGAATTCGAGAGGGATCGCGAGAGGTGAGGAATCAGCAGGAGAGGGTGTACGCGGGTCCTCTCGGAACATAGGAAGAGGGAGGAATAGTAATAGGTCTGGTGAGATTATTCGGTGTGTCGCTTCTGTGTTTTCGTTCACCTGATTGATCCTTCCTCCGAAAGGCGGAGGGCGGCGAGACATCGATCGCTCGCCATTTTGCACGTCGACCGACATCTTCTCCACGCATCGACGACATTTTCCCTCGTGACAGTTTTAGCCTCGTATAACGCTCGAGGTTCTCTCGCGGAGGAGAGAGTACGCGACCGCGATTGACGGTAGCTGACGAAACAGAGGACGGGAAGAAGGAGAAGGAGAGGAAAACAAGGGAGAGAGAGAGAGAGAGAGAGAGAGAGAGAGAGATAAGAGTATCGAAAAGAAGCGCAGGTAAAGGAGGTGATAGGGTCGTACAGGTCGTAGGTAGAAGTCAGCAGGCTGGGAGGTCGGCTGAGCGAGGTGGTGGGTCCCGTCGTGGAGGAGGCCATCGAGCCAGGGGATGCCACCCCGTTGACGGGACCCTCGAGGGAGTCCTCGGTTCCTCGAGCCCCACCGCCCATCCCGCATCGCGTTACCACATTGAAACCACCGAGACCTCCGCCCACTACGTCTCAACAAACACAGGATCCAGGTCATCAGACCCAAGAGTCGAACGAGAACGCTCAGAATCCAGGTCATAAGGCCCAGAATCCTGGACAACAGACGCAGAATCCGGAACACCAGTCGCAGAACCCGGGCCATACGACCCACAACCCGACTCATCGTCAAAACCCTGCTCAACAGCAACCCCCGAAGGCAGAGCAACAGACCCAGAACCCGGGTCACCAGGCTCCGAATCCCGGCCATCAGACTCAGAACCCGGGTCACCAAGCTCAAAATCCCGGCCACCAAGGTCAGAACCCAGGCCATCAGTCGACGAACCCGGGTCATCAATCGGCGAACCCGGGTCATCAATCGGCGAACCCAGGTCCCCAATCGACGAACCCGGGTCATCAGACCCAAAATCCCGGACACCAGACCCAGAACGTAAGTCGACACGGTCAGAATCCCAGTCATCAGGCGACGCAGACGCAGCAACAGCCCCAAGCACCCGCGCAGCAACCACAGCCACAACAACAACAACAACAACAACAACAACAACAACAGGAGAACCGTACCAGCAGCATGGGTACGGTGTTGTCGTTTAGTCCGCGTGAAAGACGCGGGACCGTGTATCCGCCAGCGGGTCATCAACATCCCGCTGATTTCACGTTGAACAATTTCAATTACGAGCAGTTGAACAATGCGAAGAATCGAGAGAACAAGAGCGGCGCCGCTACGGTGGCGCCGGCGCCGCCCACGAATCACCCACCTACGAACAATAACTCGTTGCAAAACAACAATATCAATCTGAACAACAACGACAACGCGAGGATCATCTCGGAGAAAAACGCGCTCGAGAAGAACCTGAAGAAACACTCGTTGTTCATAAACGCGCTCTCGTGGAAGCGGTT